AAGAACAAAATTTGGAGCTTTAAAAACCAATATTTAATTATTAATTATGTTAAATTTTATTAGGGTTACCTTATAGGGAATGTTATTAAATTTAAATTAACAACTACCTTAATAAACTCACAGGCAGAAAAATCGATCCACACAAATTTTCGATGAATTTCAATCGCAAATAACTTATTTATTTGATGTCGGATTTAAACGAATATTATTAGATGGGATCTTTCCTAATCTATTAATTCCATTAAAGTAATTAATTTATGATTTTATTTATATAAGATGTTATCAAAAGTATATTTAGTTGTTAAACATGCGAATAAGTGTCAATTACCGGTTAAAAGATTTGACTTTGCAAATATTAATAAATTGCCTAGGCATGGAATTTTGCAGCCTAGTACAATTAGATGAATAATAGCAGGTCCCTCTAACTTTGGAAAATGTATATGTTTATTCTAAATCATTATAGCAACCAATTTATATTTTTTTGAAAGAATTATTAAAACTTATTAGAGAATAAAGTAATAATGAAATTATATTAAACCCTTCTGATGCTAAACCTAATTTTTATATTTGATGATGTTGCATGTGAAAAACAAAATGTTACTAGAGGCATAATCTTATTGACTCTAGATCTAAGATCTAGATCTAGGTCTAATATATAACCAAAATCAGAGTTATTTTCAGGTAATTTTGTTATGTCGATAGAGTCTGGATCTACCCATTCAAAACCAGCGTAAGGGTGATACTTAGTCAGGGACTTTTCGTATAAGTCAGTCATATATTTATTATTTGCCTTGAAATATATTTTACTGCATTGCACAACTCCGCCTCTAATACCTTTCTCTATAAGCATGCACATATCGATATCAGTTAATGATTCCAATGTAAAATCTATTGTTTTTAACATTGCTTGAAAGTGTTGGATCAAGTTGGTATGTTTTTAAACAGGTTCGAAGAACATCGGAATCAAACCGTTTAATAAATAAAAAATATTAAAAAGAACAAAATTTGGAGCTTTAAAAACCAATATTTAATTATTAATTATGTTAAATTTTATTAGGGTTACCTTATAGGGAATGTTATTAAATTTAAATTAACAACTACCTTAATAAACTCACAGGCAGAAAAATCGATCCACACAAATTTTCGATGAATTTCAATCGCAAATAACTTATTTATTTGATGTCGGATTTAAACGAATATTAAAGAATATTGTAGATAAATTATTGGACAATCGCTCAAATTTTAAAAAATTGCTAAAAAATAGACGTACGTTTATAATATACAGGTTTAAACAAAAAGATGTTTTTTACCATAAGTTTAAGGCAAAACCGTATATTGTTCTAAATTTATTTATCAAGTCACATCTATTCTTAACAGTTTTGTTTTTGGTTCACCTCGATATATTTATTTTTGTGGAAAATATGGATTTTTAAAAAAGAAATTGCAATTTCCAATATTTTTCTGTATGAAGAACTAAGGTTGCTATGGTCCATCCATAGGCTATGGAGAATGACAGTGACAGTTTTGTTGAATCATCCCATACTTGGACATGTCATACACGGCTTTCAAAAGCTATCAAATTGTTTTTTGCAAATTAATGTTCAAATTTTGAGGTGTCTTCTTACTTTAAAAAATGGATATGTCTCCGACTGATGTTGCCAGAGCCATTAATTTAATCCAGGATGGACGGTCACAGTATAACGTGGCAAGTGTTTTAAACGTAACAAGAAGTAAAGTACAAAGGGCAACATCAGTCGGAGACATTTTTAAAAGTAAGAAGACACCTCAAAATTAACACATTAATTTACAAAAAACAATTTGATAGCTTTTGAAAGATGTATATATCCAATAGCAAAACCCTCGCTGGGTTTGTAAAAGTTACCTCGAATTTTTTTTTATGACCGTTTGTATTTTCGAGCTTTATATACCCCAATTTAGACCTATATTTTTTTCGCATATAGTCGACTTATATCGTATAGATTTTTTGTAGAAATGTAGATACTGCACAAATAAACCCATTTTGTGAACAACCTTTATCCCAAAAACCAATTTTTGGGACCAAATATTCGAAAATAATTTTATTTAAAAGAGATAAAATAGAATTGTAGAAAAGTACAGAGAGTTTGATTTTTTATTTTGTATTAATTTTATTATTAAAAAACTTTTTTATATCAAAACATTGAGTAATCTGATTCATCCCTTCCACTTCTTCTCCTTTTTTTCCTTGCTCTTCATTTTCATTTTTTGATTCATCACTGGAGAATTTCATCCCTTCCACTTCTTCTCCTTTATTTTCTTGTTCTTCATTTTCATTTTATTCCTGATCGTAGTCAAAAATATGTTTTCTTCACCAAAATGTTTCGGCTAGTATGGCATCTGGAGCTCGTTTTCCTCTTTATCTGGACTCAAATGACATTGCAGTTTAATGATTGTGTCGATAACTGTCGACTGAGGTAGTCCAAATGGCGATGAGGGAAATGAATTTTTAGCGACATATTGACTCCAATTTTGGAAAAAACATCCAACATTCGTCGCATCCTTCATAATTGGGAGAACGATGTTTGCCTAAAAGGCCAATGATGATTTCTCTCTGTCAAAGTCTTCATACTTTACCAATTTCCGAATATCAGGACCATTTAAAACGCCTGAAATGAAATGAATATAAAAAATATATTAAATGAAGGGATGAATCAAAAAATGAAAATGAAGAACAACAAAATAAAGGAGAAGTGGAAGGGATGGAATTCTCTATCAATGAATCAGATTACTCAATGTTTTGATATAAAAAAGTTTTTTAATACTAAAATTAATACAAAATAAAAAATCAAACTCTCTGTACTTTTCTACAATTCTATTTTATATATTCAATTTTTTCCTACAAATTTTCCAAAGATTTCGGCAAAAAATTTGGTGTTGAGTATGAAAACATGAATATTTTGGAAAATCTTGTTTAAAAATTGTTTTCCAGCAAATAAGTAAACTTAAAGTTCAGTTTTGTGTGCGTATTTTATAAATTACTTATTTTAGGGCCGGTTTATCAATGTCCAGTTAAAGTAGCAGTTAGTTATCTGTTAGATAATTTCCATGTATACCATTGTTCTCACAACGATCGATATGAAATTTAACTGTCAGATAGACTAACTGGAACTTAACTAGAGATTGATAAACCGGCCCTTAGTATACTTTACAACGTTTTTGCCAGAAGAAGTAGCAAGAAATTTTAAATATTATCGAAAAATTAAAAAAAAAAATCGAATATTTGGTCCCAAAAATTGGGTTTTGGGATATAGGTTGTTCATAAAATGGGTTTATTTGTTCAGTAACTACATTTCTACAAAAAATCTTGACGATATAAATCGAATATATGCGAAAAAACCGATTAATAAGTCTAAATTGGGGTATATGAAGCTAGAAAATACAAACGGCCATAAAAAAATAAATCGAGCTAAACACAGCGAGGGTTTTGCTATTGGATAGGTATATTTTCAGAAAAAAATAGTCCGGTGAGGTTTGATTTTCGGTGTTGCACAGTGTAATCGGACTCCTAAAATGGCGACTTCCGTCGTAAATTTATTACATTAACGAGATTTGGCAGGGTCCTTCCTGAGGTTTTTTATTCAAAGTCAAAAACCGATTTCTCGACATACGGTTAACCTAGCGGTTCCTTGGATTATATACGTAAAAGAAAACAACAATAATTTTAATGTCTGTGCTTGGTTCAGAATTTTATGATGCAATTTGAAACATTCGCCGCGACAACTATATGCGTTATTTTGTTTATTATAATTATAAAATAATTGTTTAATGTTTATGTAGCTTAATTTTTACTATTTTTATTTCTTTTTCAAACACCTTTAAATTGCATTTTTTGTATCAAAGCCATCTTGATAATAAAGACCATGAAAATAATTTCATATTCTATACAATTTTTGGTATTTTAAACCGTTGTATCTTCCTAGCAAGGCAAATACACATTTTTTTTTTGTGAAGTGTTTAATTTATATTGAGGAGAACATTGTTGTTAAATTTTGAAGAATTTTCGTTCAGTCCCTCTGGACGAAAAAAATGGGAAATTTTCATAATTATGATGGTATTTCCTGTAATTTGGATACTTTTTTTATAATTTTGCATTTTATATTTCAATCAATATTTATAATTAGTTTAAATAAAAATATACACCAAATCAAATTTTCATAGCCTACTATATAATATCAATGGCAAAAAATTGACATTTTCAGTTAAAAGAAGCGTAAATTTAGCACTAAAAAACTGCATTTGTAAAAACATTTGTATAATTTTAGGCATATATTTAAAAATCACATTGTTTTATGGTTAAAACAAAATATTACGCGATACAAAATATTAATAAACAACTTAGTTATAAAGGGTTTTCTTAGACACCGATTTGGTAATTTTTTATGCAAACCGGTCAACATGGCCTGCCTAATTATTATGGTTTTTGTTCATCCTAAGCATTGACCTTCACACCCTGAAAGTTTTAAGAAAATCCAATAAGGTCAGCTTTCAATTTTTGTCAAATTTGGTGAAAAATGATAGAATGACTCTTGTGTAATTTAAAATTTTAAAAAATTAAAACTATTTCAGTAAATTTTCACAATCTTAGAATTATGATGCTCATTTTTTAATTAGGGAATTTAATTTTTCCTTATCAGCGACCGTAATATAGGGAATTTTCCAAACAATTTTGTCCATTTTAATTTTGTTTATTTCAGTTTTGGATGTGTTATACATTGCATTTTTATCAGAAAAACTTCGTTAATTTTATAATATTTTTTAAAAATCTTTAGCAAAACCAAATAAAGTTTTTAATAGCACGCATACATTAAATCATCATGTAGTCTTATGAACTTTATTTAAAGATTCTCCGCTATCAATATTATACCCAGCATTTTTTAAACGTTCTAATTTGTTTTTAATAAAAGAAACCAAATTATTGCGGAGCATTTCGTTTACTCACGTCGCGTTCTGGCTATTGTGTTTTACTCAGAAGAAGTTGAAGGCGAGCTGTCAACAACTATCTGACGTTTGTAAAATAAAACAAGTAAATTGTCGTGTATTGTTGTGAACCCAACCCAACTCAAGCTAAAATGTTTTCTGGGTCTAAGCAAGGATTTGTCCGATGTAATTGCCTGAAAGGATGTCAAATTAAATATAATATGCATAAAATTAAATATAATATGCAATTAAAAATGGCACAAGAGCTATTCTTGTAAAAATAAGTAATGTTTTTTTAAGCTCGTTTCTCTATCTTTTTTAAATTTAGTAACACATAATTTATGTTATACCTATGCGTTTAAATAAATGCTTTTTTAATTTATATGCATTGTTTTATTTAAACGCGACGTGGGCAAACGACAGGACCCGCAATGTAAAACAAAAACGCAGGAATAATTATTTCGTGTCGTGGGTAGCAAAACGTTTTTAACCGCATAGTGGGTAAACTACTATACCCACAACGCGTTGTGGACAAAAAATTCGAGCAGTCGGTGATTTCGTCTATTGCGAATAACTTATCGAAAATATTTAATTATTTAATTGTTATTTTGATAGCAGAATTAAAATCTTATTATTTATTTATTATTTTTTTCTGTGTTTTTTATTTCTATTTTTGCGTTTCACACCCATTCCTAGTTTAACTTTTGTGTTCATAGCTGCTGTAACACCTAGATCTAGAATGCTAGAATCTTTAGCTTTTACCATTACTCCTATAAAATTTTATGTTTCATGTCAGTTCTAAATTATAGTAGGAGTAGGCAATGTCGTGAACTTTACACGGCTTGTCTAACTGATTAATACCTTGATCGTTTCGTGCTAATCGTTTACTTAGTTTCGGGACCATAAAATCTAAATCCGCTTGGTAAATGAGCCTCAAAAGGCAATTTATTTATTAATTTATTTAAGACCGCTTCCTTTTCGTTTGATTGTTTTTTATTGCGAATAAGTTGCATAATTTTATGTTTACTTATTTATTAGATGGGATCTTTCCTAATCTATTAATTCCATTAAAGTAATTAATTTATGATTTTATTTATATAAGATGTTATCAAAAGTATATTTAGTTGTTAAACATGCGAATAGTTAAATAAGTGTCAATTACCGGTTAAAAGATTTGACTTTGCAAATATTAATAAATTGCCTAGGCATGGAATTTTGCAGCCTAGTACAATTAGATGAATAATAGCAGGTCCCTCTAACTTTGGAAAATGTATATGTTTATTCTAAATCATTATAGCAACCAATTTATATTTTTTTGAAAGAATTATTAAAACTTATTAGAGAATAAAGTAATAATGAAATTATATTAAACCCTTCTGATGCTAAACCTAATTTTTATATTTGATGATGTTGCATGTGAAAAACAAAATGTTACTAGAGGCATAATCTTATTGACTCTAGATCTAAGATCTAGATCTAGGTCTAATATATAACCAAAATCAGAGTTATTTTCAGGTAATTTTGTTATGTCGATAGAGTCTGGATCTACCCATTCAAAACCAGCGTAAGGGTGATACTTAGTCAGGGACTTTTCGTATAAGTCAGTCATATATTTATTATTTGCCTTGAAATATCTTTTACTGCATTGCACAACTCCGCCTCTAATACCTTTCTCTATAAGCATGCACATATCGATATCAGTTAATGATTCCAATGTAAAATCTATTGTTTTTAACATTGCTTGAAAGTGTTGGATCAAGTTGGTATGTTTTTAAACTGGTTCTACAAACATTTTCAAAAACTTCTGATAATGAATGTACATAAGTTTTTAAATATAAATTGCTATAGTCTCCTAAATGTTTAATATTACAAACTTTTATTGCTTTTCATATTCCTCATCCGTAATCCTCATTTAATTAATCTCAAGAGTCAATATACTCATATGAAAATTTATTACAAAGTAAATTAAATTCGTCTTCGTTTCGACAATGTGCTTTGGTAATTATTTTTTCAGAGTCTTCTTATTGAAAGCCAGTGGCTAAACTACCACCTACCGGTTTCAGAGACCAGGGCCCCGAGCACCAGGGGGCCCCTGAAGTGGCAAGAGCTAAATGTAAGAAACAGGTTAAATATGAAAAAATATTTTTTTTTTATTTTTTTGTAATAATAAATAATCGTTGCCTGCTTGATATTATATTTCTATTTTGTCCTTTTTTTTCAAATTTTTTAACTCAAAATTTTGAATTAAATATTTTGAAATAAACATAGGTTAATTGAAATTTGAAATTACAAATATAGAATCATAAACTCGAAATCGAATACTTCACATCGAAAGTTTGAAATTTTGGAATAGGATATATGCAATGTATAATCTCTGAATTTCTATTTTTGACTAAGAATGTATATTATACATTCTTAGTCAAAAATAGAAATTCAGAGATGAAAAAATAAAAATGAAAAAATTGCAATCTAAAATAAGAAATTTTCGATTTCACATTTACAATTTTGGATAAAAAATCAAGATTTAAACTCTCAAATTCAAAATCTTATTTATAATAAAGCATAAATTAGTAGTACTATATATATACGTGAATAACACTTGATCCTTTTTTCAACATCATTTGTATCCGTACCTTAAATAATACATCCCTTCGAAATCCTGAGCAATGAATATTATTGTGTAAGGCGGGGTGGAGTGGGAAAAGTTTAAATGATTCAAACAATTTTCCTGGTAAGGGCCCCCTAGTGAGAATCCGACTGGGGCCTCCATTTTTATAGTTACGCCATTGTTGAAAGCTTAATGTATCTAAGCTTTCTGGTAAAAATCTAAACGAATCTATAAATCTAAGATAAATGTTAGCTTATTTAACAAACTTTGAAAAAAAATTATATTATTTCTTGTTGCTTAGTAATACAGATAATAATACAGATAAATATCCTTAATATAAATCATACTCGATTTGAAACCAATCGAGATATTTTTGTTATTATTGTAAACTGAAAAATATCTTTGGATGATAATGCCATCAAATTTATATAATTTTGTGTTTTACGTTTACTTAAAATAACTGGATTTTATAAGAAAAACTGTGCCTTTATAATTTAAAACTGATCTAAAATTAGTATAACTTGAAGAATGTGTCGGGTTGTTAGCATTTGAAAACAAGGATGCGAATATACACCATAAAAACAATATTTATTTTTAATTTTAAACCGCCTTTTTAAATTTAATAAACTCTGGTGGTTCTACAAAAGCTCCCGCCCTTATAAGGCAGAATTTATTTATATTTATTTTAAACCTGCGATTTCTACAAGTTTTGCAGAATCTCCGGCCTCTAAAGCTTGATTAAAAATTGGTTTGTAAGGATGAATTTCACATTGTTTCAATATTTTTTGAATGTGCTTTCTACTTATCCGCAATTCAAGCGATCTTCGTCGTAAAGAAAGTTTCGTATTATTTTGTACCGAATCCATTACGATATCATCTTCATTGCATCCAATACGGAGCCAGTATTAATTTTTTGCACCACATTTTGAGATGTAAATATCGGGAAACTTTTGATTCAGTTCTTCGATAACTCGTCGGGTTGCTTCATTACCTTTACCATAGCACTGTATTAAATAAATTTGTTGCTCTTTCGACAACATTGTCATTAATTTTGATAAATTTTCTTTTTTGACTGTCAATGAAACGACTTAATTTTTGTTGAATTGTTGCGATGAAAACTTTAGTAGCATTAGAATGTACTTTTTTCTACTCCTTTTACGGAATTTGACCCTTCTAATATCACTTTTATCTATGGAATGACATATATTCCGTAAAGTGTTACAGAATGAAATATTTTATCATCTGATGACAGAATAAACACTCGTGGCGACATCTCTGTTTTTAATATCTAACAAATTTTAGACCGATCCAACCTCACTTTCTTCCAATTAAATTATTTTTCTATGGTATTTTTTTGGAAACGTAGAAAAAGTATAGTCTGAAACACGTTTGGAATTGCATATTCCGCTCTTGTGAAACCGTCAAACTCGCCTTCGGCTCGTGTGACAAACTCTTTACTCGAGCGGAATATGCTGTATTCCAAACTTGTTACAGAATATACTATTTTCTACTCCTATTACGGAAATTTACCCTTCTAATATCACTTTTATCTATGGAATGACATATATTCCGTAAAGTGTTACAGAATGAAATATTCTATCATCTGATGACAGAATAAACACTCGTGGCGACATTTCTGTTTTTAATGTCTAACAAATTTTAGACCGATCCAACCTCACTTTCTTCCAATTAAATTATTTTTCTATTGTATTTTTTGTAAACGTAGAAAAAGTATAGTCTGAAACACGTTTGGAATGGAATGCTATATTCCAAACTTTGTTGTTGTTTGACATTCTAACATGTTTCCAACACCGGTTGTGTTCCGTAATTTACTGCCATTACTATCAGTAATTTTACTGTCAGTAGCGAAAAAAGACCGTTCCGTAATTTATTCAGTACTGACGCAATAGTAAAATTGGAACGCGCCTCAGTAGCAGCAGAAAGTGACAATGGTTAGGCAAGGTTATGATTTGTGATTTACTGACATTTGACAAACTTTACTTTCGGCACAGCAGAGAACATAAATAAAAAATAAATATAACAGTTATATAATAATTAAATAATTTTTGGGTTTATGGCAGAAAAATATGGAAAATAAAATGTTATCGTCGTCCGCGTCGAAAAATGTATATAAGAATAGGAAATATAAAATTTCACGGACACCACAACAATACGCCAAATACCAAAAATTACTTTTAAATTCGTACAATACAATACAATACAACTAAACTGCTCGTCATAAAAAACGACGCACCTAGTTTTTTGGAAAATGTTTGAAAGCTCGTTATTGGAAAATTACTGAATCGATTTTGAAAATCTTTAAAAATTCTGAATAGCTGATTCTTTGACTCTTATGTCTAATTTTGGAAATACGATATTTTGCACATAGCATTATACTACAGGGTGTTAAACGAAGAGATGCATTTTTTTCGAAATTTCAAGTTATTCCCATTCATAGGGCAGTTGACTTTAAAAGTCGAAATACCCCTCCCTGATATAAGTTGGGTAATCCCTCGGAACGTTTTCGAGATTTTGTGGATATCTTGGCTAACTACGATTATATGCCAATTTTTTAAAAATTGTCCTTATTCCCCAGTTTAGTCCAAAAAATGAGCAATAGTGGATTCTTCGACTTAAGTCTAATTTTGGGAATACGATATTGTGTACATGACATTATACTACAGGGTGTTAAAAAAAGAGATGTTTTTTTCCAAAATTCCAAATCCCCATTCACAGGGCAGTTGTGCTTGATGGTCGTAATACCCCTCCCTAGTAACAGTTAGGTAATCCCTCGGGACGTTTTCAAGATTTTGTGGATATCATGGCTAACTACGATTATATGGCAATTTTTCGAAAATTGTCGTTATTCTCCATTTTAGTCCAAAAAATGAGCAATAGTTCATTCTTTGACTCTTATGTCTAATTTTGGGAATACGATATTGTGCACTTAGATACATACTATAGGGTGTTAAAAAAAGAGATGTTTTTTTTTCAAAATTCCAAATTCCCATTCACAGGGTGGTTGAGCTTGATAGTCGTAATACCCCTCCCTTATAACAGTTACTTAATCCCTCGGGACGTTTTCGAGATTTTGGGGATATCTTGGCTAACTACGATTATATGGCAATTTTTTGAAAATTGTCATTCTCTATTTTAGTCCAAATAATGAGCAATAGTTGATTCTTTGACCCTTATGTCTAAGTTTGGGAATACAATATTGTGCACATAGCATGCTACTACAGGGTGTTAATAAAAGGGATGTTTTTTTCCAAAATTCCAAATCCCCATTCACAGGGCAGTTACGCTTGATAGTCCTAATACCCCTCCCTATAACAGTTAGATAATCCCTCGGAACGTTTTCGAAATTTTGTGGATATCTTGGCTAACTACGATTATATGGCAATTTTTCGAAAATTCACGTTATTCTCCTCTTAGGTGAGCAAACTACGGAAGGTATCTATTAGTTATCAACACAGAGTTTTAAGGTAGGTAAAGTGCTTTCAGTTTATGTACTTTGCGTGATTAATTAAATCTGAAATTTTTTACACGAAAGCAATTTTTTTTGGTGAAATTCAAAATAAAAACGCAAACCAAACAGCATTATTCTCGTAAACTATATTCATGCAATTTTCTACAAACGGTTGACCATGAAAGTTTAAAAAATATGGTGAATATCTGGTTTTGACTTTCATCGCTTCAATTATTGTTGTCATTTTTTTCGTCGAATATGAAAATATTTTTCAAACAGCCAAACACATTAAAAAAATAAAATGACGGATGTAAGGTATGCAAAGTGAAATTAAACTGACGTTAGCAATACATTAAAACAAGATTTAAAGTTTTAGAAAATTCTTTTGCTCTTAATTTACAATAAACAAAATTAAAAGAACAAATAAAATAAATAAATCAACAAATTTTATAATCCTCACATACAAAATTATTAAAATGCAGAATAGATAGGTTTTAATCTCATGAACTAACTACAATAAGTGCGTAAATAAAGAAAAACATTCATTTACGCGAATCAACAATTTTAATATTTTGTTGGCCCACCGCCGACACGTATAACGTCCGCTACCCTACTTGGCATACTATTGACCAAGTCTGCAATAAATGCTTGGGGAATAGCCTCCCATTCAAATCTTACTGCATTTACCAAATCGTTCAAATTATTTAATACATACTCACCAGCATTCATCCTAAGTTTCATTTTACTCCATACATGCTCTATTACATTCATATCGGGAGATCTAGCAGGCCAATCCATTCGTTCGATGTTATTCTCCCTCAAAACTTCTTGAACGACTCTGGCCCTGTGCGGACGAGCATTATCATCTACCAGTATAAAGTCATTCCCGAAGTTTTGAGCAAAAGGAATAATAATCTCATTCACACACATATCTCTATATCTATTCGCATTCATACTTTCATACATAAATTGAAAGCACGTTACCTACCTTAAAACTCTGTGTTGATAACTAATAGATACCTTCCGTAGTTTGCTCATTTTTGTGACTTAAGAGGAAAATAACGTGAATTTTCGAAAAATTGCCATATAATCGTAGTTTGGAATTTTGGAAAAAAACATCCCTTTTATTAACACCCTATGTGCACAATATTGTATACCCAAACTTAGACATAAGGGTCAAAGAATCAACTATTGCTCATTATTTGGACTAAAATGGAGAATAACAACAATTTTCAAAAAATTGCCATATAATCGTAGTTAGCCAAGATATCCCCAAAATCTCGAAAACTTCCCGAGGGATTAAGTAACTGTTATTAGGGAGGGGTATTACGTTTATCAAGCTTAACTGCCCTGTGAATGGGGATTTGGAATTTTGGAAAAAAACATCTTTTTTTTAACACCCTGTAGAATGTAGCTAAGTGCACAATATCGTATTCCCAAAATTAGACATAAGAGTCAAAGAATGAACTATTGCTCATTTTTTGGACTAAAATGGAGAATAACGACAATTTTCGAAAAATTGACATATAATCGTAGTTAGCCAAGATATCCACAAAATCTCGAAAATTTCCCGAGGGATTACCTAACTGTTACTAGGGAGGGGTATTACGACTATCAAGCACAACTGCCCTGTGAATGGGGATTTGGAATTTTGGAAAAAAAACATCTTTTTATTTAACACCCTGTAGTATAATGTCATGTACACAATATCGTATTCCCAAAATTAGACGTAAGTCAAAGAATCCACTATTGCTCATTTTTTGGACTAAACTGGGGAATAAGGACAATTTTCAAAAAATTGGCATATAATCGTAGTTAGCCAAGATATCCACAAAATCTCGAAAACGTTCCGAGGGATTACCCAACTTATATCAAGGAGGGGTATTACGACTATCAAAGTCAACTGCCCTATGAATGGGAATAACTTGAAATTTCGAAAAAAATGCATCTCTTCGTTTAACACCCTGTAGTATAATGCTATGTTCAAAATATCGTATTCCCAAAATTAGACATAAGAGTCAAAGAATCAGCTATTCAGAATTTACAAAGATTTTCAAAATCGATTCAGTAATTTTCCAATAACGAGCTTTCCAATATTTTCCAAAAAACTAGGTGCGTCGTTTTTTATGACGAGCAGTTTATATAACATTTTCTAGGTAATACCTAGTAGGTAGTTTAATATTCTGGGTCTTCGTATGCATACTCCCCGGCCTCCTCCTTTAATTATTAATTCGTGTCCTTCGTCACTGCTGCTTGTACTTTCAAGTAATATTTTATTAATAAATATTAAAATAATTAGTCCTAGGTATTCACCAAATACCATTATATCCTTCACTTTATTTGACAGCTATTTTTTATGTTTAAAAGTTTGGTTATGTGTTTTACTGGAGCCACAGCACCTCTATAGTTGTTTCAGTAAAATTAATCCGCCGTAGGGTAGTATTTACCATTGAGCTCAGTAACTGAAAGTGGATTTCGGAATGACAGTAAATTACGGAACACAACCACCGTTGTTTGATTTTAAATAAATAAATAAATAAATAAATAAATATCTTTATTGACGGATTTACCATTAGATTTTTAGACAGATCACAGTGACAGTTAGATGAATATTTGTGACAGCGTTTCATTTTGTGCTATTGTTAACTTGCAACAGTGTGCTTCTGATATTGGTTGTGTTCCGTAATTTACTGCCATTACTATCAGTAATTTTACTGACAGTAGCGAAAAAAGACCGTTCATTAATAAAAAATAAATATAACAGTTATAAGAAATATATTTTTTGGTTTATGGCAGAGAAATATGAAAAATAAAATGTGATCGTCGTCAGCGTCGAAAAATGTATATAGGAATAGGAAATATAAAATTTCACTGATACCACAACAATACGCCAAATACCAAAAATTACTCTTAAATTCGTACGCTGAATACAAATATATAACATTTTCTAGGTACTACCTAGTAGGCAGTTTAATATTCTGGGTCTTCGTATGCGTACTCCCTGGCGACCTGCCTGCCATCCTCCTTTAATTATTAATTCGTGTCGTTCGTCACTGCTGCTTGTAATTTGAAGTAATATTTTATCAATAAATATTGAAATAATTAGTCCTAGGTATATACCAAATACCATTATATCCTTCACTTTATTTGACAGCAATTTTTTATGTTTAAAAGTTTGGTTATGTGTTTTACTGGAGCCACAGCATCTCTCTTTCACCAGTTGTTTCAGTAAAATTAATCTGCCGTACATTTATAAAAGGGTAGTATTTACCACTGAGCTCAGTAACTGAAAGTGTATTTCGGAATGCGTTTTCAGTACTGACAGTACTGACAGTAAATTACGGAACAAAACCATTATTGGGTGGTGAGAATTGTGACTGTATATTGTTATTTTATGTGTTATACATATTTGGACTTTGTTAAATAATATTGTAATTGTATTAGTTCGGTGTCCTCCCTATTTAATTCCAGTGGTAACGCCTTTTTGTCATGGGTAAGCAGAAAGACATCTCGGAAGCAAACATTTCTGAGCTGATATAATTATTGCTGCATTCCAAACATTCTCAGCGACAAATAAGAGAGCAACAGCAACTGTCAACAACATTAGAAAAAAAATAACCATAAATGAGCCATTAACTTCACAACGTATTAGGAAATGTGATCGAAAAAGGTTAACAACGCCAAGAGACGAAAGAAAAATTAAAGACAATTACTTGGAAAACTAAAAAAACCTCGTCGAGTGCTGACCAGATTGATCCAAGAGGCTGGAATAGCAATTTCAGATATGCCAGTGCATCGGCGATTGATGGAACAGGGTTTGGTAGCTCGCCGTCCAGCTAAAAAATACAAATTAACAAAGGCAATGAAATATAAAAAATATAAGGTAAACGGCGTTTCAATAACAGGTTTGGTTTATTCTATACACATTGTTATTTTGAAATATAAAATAACAGTTCTCTAGCAAATAAAAAGAAGTTTTACCATGGCCAGGAAACACACCAGATGCCAATGCCAAAGAAAATTTATGGGAATTATTAAAGTGTGGAATTTCATCTGAAACGATAACCAATAAACAGAAACTAATTGAAAAACTTATATCAGTATGGAACCATGACCCAGGAAAAAAATAAAATTACAGATAAAATATTGAAAGCATGCCAGACGGATTCAGGCAATTATAGATGCAAAGGGCGGCATGACAAAATACTAATACTTTAAATATAGTCGTAACATATTCCTAAAAATATAATTCTAACATTTGTAAATCTTAACATTTTGAGTCTATTTTTAATTGAAATATTTTAGAAATTATTGGAAAGTAATAATTTCAAAGTGATATAATAATATTTTGAATAGTAGAGGGCGCTCTCTCTAACCACAAATGGCCGACGAATTTTAATAAAAAGCTAACTGACCCCTGGATTAGCCTTATCTTCACTATTTAAAACACTTTAAACAACAAAGCTGACGTTTGAGATGGCTGTGATAAAACAACTGTGTGCACTGGGAATACAAATTGTGCCATAAAAATATTGAAAATATATCGCAATTGAAAATAATAATAATAATAATAATAATAATAATAATAATAATAATAATAATAATAATAATAATAATAATAATAATAATAATAATAATAATAATAATAATACTTTATTCATGTTAGCATACAATTTGTATTTACATTCGTCAAAAAAAATATATATACCTAGATAAAACTTTTACAATTTTCCATTACAGAATAAGTAAAAATAATACAATAATAAAAAACTTATAACAATTTGCAATACAACCAGGTAAAATGTATACAGAATAGAACATAGATATTAAATTTATTAGAAATCATTTTCTAGAAACTCCTGTAAGGTGTAAAATGCTTTTTCGATTAGATATAATTTTATAACTTTACTATATGATTTTAAGGGCATTTCTTTAATATGCTTTGGTAACTTATTGTATAAAACAGGTCCCCAATAAGACGTAGAATTTTTGGTTCGTTTTATTCTATGAAATGGTATATGTAAATTATCATTGTACCGCGTGTTAAAACAATGCATTTGATTACGTGCCGAATAGTCCGATATGTTTTTTTTTTATATGTAGTAGGCAATTATATATATAAGCGCATGGAAAAGTCAACACCCTTAATTTTATAAATGAAGATCGAACATCCTCTCTGTATTTAATATTGTCTACAATGCGAATAGCTTTTCTCTGAATTTTAAAAGCACGGGAAGCCGTGGCAGCGTGTCCCCATACTAGAATAGCATATGACATTTTAGCATGTACTAATGCATGATATGCAGTTAATAATACCGATTGGGTTACAATATATTTAAGGTTGCGTAAAACGTAGAGCCCCCTTGACATATCATGTGCAACATTATCCGTGTGCTCCTCCCACAACAACTTGTTGTCCAGATAAACACCTAGGAATTTGGCACCAGAAACATCCAAGTGTTCTCCAGTTTTTAGTGAAAAAAAAGGTGTAGTGTTTTTTTCATATTAAGACACAAAGAGTTAGAAAAAAAGCAGTCATTGACAGTAGCTTTGGCCTCTTCCATTGATGTTTTTACGTTATTAATATCTTGGTGAGAAATTGCGACAGTAGTATCGTCGGCAAAAAGGACAAAGTTAGCCTGCGAAGTACATTTTGGTAGGTCATTTATATATATTAAAAATATCAGAGGACCAAGGACTGATCCCTGCGGCACTCCCATATTAATAGGTAATAACGTTGAAGGTTTGTTGTTGAATATTACATATTGATGTCTATTAGTCATGTATGAGCGCAACAAGGAACAGGCACCTTTGCCAAAATTATACCTACCAAGTTTTGTCATAAGAACATCAATGGAAGCACAATCAAAAGCTTTGGATATGTCACAAAACATAACTCCAGTATAGCTAAGGCTCTCAAACGATTCGTATATGAACTTTAATAAATTATTGATTGCCATTGTTGTGGACATTCCCGGTCTAAATCCATATTGGCAGTCATTAAATAATTTATTAAATTCAAAATATTCAACAAGTTGTTTTTTAAGGCCTTTTTCTATGCCTTTACTTATTATAGGGGTTATAGATATTGGTCTATAGTTACCAGGGTTATTATGACAGCCTTTTTTGTGTATAGGTAACACCCGTGATATTTTTAAGCATGATGGGAAAGTAGCTTTTGTCAGGCAAGTGTTAATAAGCTTCGTTAAAGGAACAATAATTAAATTTAATAGTGTTTTAAGAATTTTAGAATTTAAGTGGTAAAAATCAAGACTTGTAGAATTATTTAAGTTTTGAATAATGTCTCTTATCTCAATAAAAGTAAATTCAGAAAACTTAAATTTGGGACTAGTAATATTTCCAAGAAAGCTCTCATAGTATTCGTGTGTATTAGTGGGATTATTTAAGGAATTTACTATATTATGGGGAACATTAGCAAAATAACTATTAAAATCATCTGGGGATAAGTTACAATAGTTATTTGTGGTTTGTTTGGGTCGGTTTTTGTTTATAATTTTCCAACTTGCTTGGCAAGCATTAGTTGATTTTTTTTATTAAAGTGTCATTTGATAGTTTCTTGGCCAAGTTTAACTCTTTTCTGTAGTGAAATTTATATCTTTTAATATTATCAAGTAAGTGTGTATTGCCTGAGGATTTTTGTATATCGATCATCATGTTTAAGTTAGAGCGCATGTTTTTTAAATGTTGACTAAACCAAGGTGCTCTAGGGTTTGACTTACTGGTGCATTTAATTATCTTTGTTGGTAGGTGTAAATCTATCGCATTTGAGAGTAGATCCAGAAAGTATTTAAATCTATCTTCGATGCAAATAGATGGTTCTGAAATAAAGCTCCAATTTACTTGTTCTATATGACTATATAGTTTAAAGAGGCCTACTTGAGTAATAGGTCTCACAGTTTTTTGTGAAGTTATTTTAGTCTCATGTTGGAGATTAAACTTTAGAGTAAGTGCATAATGATCCGATAAATTTAATTCTACAATATCAGATGACAAATATTCTTCCGCTATTGTAGTCAAGATGTTATCGACACAATTGTAGGCATTTGTGTTATTTTTAATTATGGTTGAAAAATTGTATGAGGTTATTAAATCTATAAATTCTTTCTTACTCGTACTATTTTTATTATAATGTATATTAAAGTCACCAACAAAAAAAATTAAACGTTCGGAATATTGAAACTTGCTAAGTATAGTATTCATTGCATCCAGAAAAGCACTAAAATCACCATCAGGAGATCTATAGATAACAATTATAATCAAATTTAACAAGTCGCACTCCAGCCCACAGAACTCATGGTTAATTTCATTAGAATAGTCATACAAAATTTTTATTGGTCTACAAAATTGGCTTATATGATCAGCTGAGTAGATACATACACCGCCATGCATGTGTTTAGACCTAGAGAAATGACTAAGCAAGGTGTAACCTTGTATATTTGAGTACGTAATTTCATCTTTGTTAAACCAATGTTCAGTAAAACATAAGAAGTTATACTTAAAGTTATATGTTTCGAGTTGTGAAATTTTGTTATTTAAGCTTTGAATATTTAAATAGAATATTTTAACGCAATTAATTGATTTAAGATCATGGTTTTGGTTGCCTTGAAGACAAATTTTCTTTAGGTGGCTGGCTGGTTCTTCACTCGCGGATGAAAAAACCTGGTTACATAGGTTCCCTCTGGCCAGAGCTCTAGACGCATGACCTCATAATTACCCAGATTTACGGTTAACTTAAATGACACATAATGCTGTGGATATTTGGATGTTACTGAACTGCAGACTATTTTTGGAAAACTTTCCTTTAGGTAGCTTTCAATATCTGTTATTTTTGTTTCCGGTTGCAGTCTGGAAACATAGACAAATGCCTTTTTTGGAACAACTTTGAGAGAGCATAATGTGGAATTTTTTAGATTTCCTATGATTTCAGTTTTATTCGTTTTTGGTTTGTTCTTTTTAACAACTTCTGCCCATTTTCCTCCTTGAATGTTTCCTGACTTAGAATTTACATCATCCTTAGTTAAATTAATTATTTGCTCACATATGGCTTTACTTTTGCTTCCAGTATAGCGGAAGAGACTGTTTTTGGGACAATTGGTTTATTTAAAGTGGAAGCTTTTGTTTCCTGAGCTTTGGAATTAACAATTTTATTTTCTACACTTTTTTTATTTTGTGAATTTTTGTTGTTTTGTTGACTTTCAGTAGCTTTTTTAGTTAAATTTGTATTATTTACTAAATTAATTTGCTCTTTTAGTGAATTTATTGTTAATTTTTGGCTATTAATTAATTCATCTTTGTGTTTTAAAATCTCTTTTAAATAGTAGATTTCAACCACTAGAGGATCCTCGGATAGTACAGTTGGTTCAATATCTTGTGAATATTCTTGAGTACTCTCCTTAGTACCTTCACAGCAATTCATATCGTTTTCGTTGATAACTTTTACTTTTTTGCTTAAATTAGCACAATTTAGGTGCATAACTGATTCGCAGATGACACATTTAAGGAATTCCTTTGGTATTGATTTGCATCTTCCGCATTGTTTACTTGTTAAATCCGTTTTAGTCATAGTGACAGCACAGCCCTGGGCGCCAAAGCAACTGAAGATATTCATTGTTCGTACTCTTGTGCCGTACCTCCAGAAATGGAAGGTAAAGATCAACTCGGGCAAAACCGAGTTGATCAACTTCACGGTCAAGTTTACGAACAATAAAATTTTCTCACCTTTATCCATAGAGAACCATACTGCAGTTTCTAGGCGCTCTGTAAAATACCTCGGTATTATCCTGGACAGAAGACTGAGGTTTGTCCCACATATTAC